GTTATATTGGCCACCACACTTGATAGGCTTAAGAAAATATGCAAAATCATTTATATAAATGAGGAATAGGGGCGGACCCAAAACCCATCCTTGCGGAACACTGGGATAGTAGACAACTTTTGCAATAAGAAACTATGATTAATATAGTGAAGAACTTTGATATACCAAAAAGACAGAAATACATGCTGTCCATACGTCAACAATCGCACTTTCCGGTAAAAAATTCCATTGTTCATTAACAAAAAATGAAATTTTCAGCGAGTAGTCAATAGCGACTCTTTTAGTATAATTTGAAAAATGTTGCCAAAAATATTCAATATTGAAAAGTAGAATCATTTCTGCATACTTAAATTGTTCTGGGAAAGTACTGGAGGCTAAGCAGGCGTTATATAAATGTGATAAAAGTACCAAGAAGTCAGAACATTTTCTAAAGTTAAAATGGCTTTTGAAATCATGGTTTCTGATATATGAAAAAAATTAAAGCATTTATCAAAATAACTGCGATTGTTTTTAAATTTAGAAGATAAATTGAGTTTAAGCCGGAAAAGGAAATATTGTCTATTACTTTATATGAAATGCTAGTAAATTATGAGTTATACGTCCCAGCCGATGTTACAACTCGATTTAAAAGTACATCCATTTAATTCAAAATTTATTAGTCTCCAAGAATCCTTGCTTTTATTTGAGTGACAAATAAAATCATTGAATGCTAGTTTTTTTTTGCTATATTTCTTGCTCGTATTTCCTTTTTAAATTTATGTAAATAATAATGCAAGCGAAATATTTGTTTTTTGCATCACAAAATATGTTTATTTTTGATAGGGGATCTCTTTTTTTACGAAGTGAGTTGGTAAACCAATTTTCCGGGGGCTTCCATTTTGAACCAGAAACTTCTTCAACAGAGAAGTGAATGCTAATAAGGTTAGTAAAAATAGTGAATAAAATTCGCAATAGCTAGTTAACATCGTAATTCGAATAAAACAAACACCAATTAGTTTTCAGAAGGGAATGTTTAAAATTGATAATGTTTTAACGGTAAACCTTCTAGTGAAAATACGGATTGATAGTTGCCTAATTTTGAAGATCCAGAATGTAACAATAAAGTGATTAATAAGTAATAAACGCTTTTGTTTTTTCGCCTATCTACGTCATTCACAATTATGATGAAATATAAATATGTCAAAAGCAGTATATATTGCTGCCAAATTAAATCATTTCTCCTGGTTTAATATCCTTTGGTTGACCGTGCATACTCGTTAGTAGATAGGCTATGCCAGTTCCAGAACAACTTCGATCATTTTACGTGGAAAAAAGTTTAATATGCTAGCAAAACTGTCAACTCGAGGTCTAATCTTAAAAGGGGGAGAACGTTGGCTGCAGGTCTTCTAGGGATGATTATAATAGCAAACTGGCTAATTTGAATTCTCTTCTTTCTGCGTATTATATTCGATTGCAAATGACGTCGGGACGTTTGTGGGAAATTATTTGCGGCGTCGACTTCCGGTGTCACACCGACGCAACAAAATTGGAAATGTAAATCGTATACAAAAGTTAGCTTGCCTCCTTGTTTGCGGGGCCATGTGGGAGGAGCATTAGGGCGGCGCGCAGATTTTAAAAATGTAAAAATATTCATTTGGTTGCTTTCGGCGGGTGTCGGTGGCGCCTCCGTCGAGTAACTCGATTTGAAAAGAGCGCGTCTACGGACCAGCCAGTGTCTCGCACAAAAGTGCCATGAACCGCAGCTCATTAACAATTTAAAACAACTACCACGCAGTCACCGTTTCGCGGGAGGCTAGGAATTTTACATACTGAGTGTCTGGGACATTAGGAGCACATATTTTAAGGGTTGACGCTAGATCTGAACTAAGTCCGTTTACTCCAAAAAAAACACGGAAATTTCCTCAGCTTCCAACAATTTTTATTGAACACAGTGTGGGTCATGTGCATCTTGTCTCTAAGCTTAAAGTTAGGGGTTTAGGGGCTTTCCTATCTGATCGTACTCAGTTCCTTCGTATTAATAATTATGACATTTTTTCGAGAGTCCCCCAAGGTCCTCATACTGGACCCATCCTTTTTAACTTGTTTATAAATGATATTGTTAGTGTAGTATCCAAATCGCAGTGTCTTTTGTTTGCGGATTATTTGAAGATATACAGGAGGGTTGGATCGCGCGAGGATGCTCTGCTACTTCGGAGGGACGTGTTTGCATGTAGTCTAAGATTAATAGTCGTGCGTTCATAGTAAAAAAAGCTTGTAGCTTTAATCATTGGTTGAGTATGGTTCCCAACCGATATAGCATTGATGGAGTCAAGATCGAGGCCGTTACTAGCATTAAGGACGTGGGCGTTTTCTTCGATTCTAGACTAAGTTTTGTGCGGAAGTGGTAAACAATGTTCCTTATACCTTACCATCGCGTAAATTCTTTTTAGTAACTCCTTGCTAGAATGCTGAAAACGTGCAACTGTCTAAAGTTTCATCCTTTTGTCGGCCGCCTCCGCTCATTTCATTCTGATGTGTTCCGTTTGAGTGCTTTTCTAACTGTTGTACCGCTGTCTTTCTCTCTATTTGCCTTTAATGTATGTAAGCGCTTTGTAAATTGTTTAAACCGTAAATAAATAAATAAAGACGAAAAATATGCTATTTTGAGGGAGTGACTTACGTTAGGTCCATATCAAAAGTCCATTTTTTAAAGAATAAAACGTCCAAGCTAGGAAAGAGAACATTTCTTTGACTTTCATTGACCTTAATAAAATGCAGATGACTAGTGTCAAAAGCAAAAAATTTCAGTAAGTAAGTAACATTTTAAGAGATAGTAAAGTTGTGCGCAATTAAAATGTTGGTAGTACCACTAAACTAACCCCGTACCTTCGTGATCACGTCGGCTTACATTAGTTAATTAAGCCCAATAATATTATCCGGGGATAGAATTGACTTAGGACCGAAAAGAAAAAAAAATATCGTTACTAAATTTCAATGCTAATAATAAAAATGAAGGAATCTCAACGACTGTTTGAGTTGCGCGAAGATCAAACCTGGTTGGTAGCGTGCTCTGCTGATGTAAGCGGCCAGTAACAGTGTCGTCGTTAATAACTCGGACTGGATGGTCTCGGGAAAAAAAAATACTCGAGTGTCCAGAAGAGTCTCGGTCCGCGACGAGTCGGTTACGTAGGTGTACGACTTCCTACTGATCTGCCTCGCGATATAAAACCCTTAGAGAAGAACCCTAGTTAAGAAAGGCTATTATAAATATGTTCTTAATAAAGATAGATCAGACAGGAATTATTTACAAAATCCGAAAATTCGAGTGATATAGTGAAATAAAACAGAAATAGATTACCGTTACACGGGTTCTGAATTTCCATTGGACGTTAGGATTGCGGAGTCTACATCCGATTAATCGAGAAAGCGGCCCGATGTTTGGTGGGTTAACGAAGAGGAATTATTTGACTTCAATTTAAAATACGCAAGTAACAGAAATGAATGCCAAAGGTACCAAATTGCGGCATGCTCTGAACAAAATGGAGGAACGAGAAAAAAAACTTACCGCTGTCGGGCTGAATCTCCCCTTACGGGAAGTTGTAGTGTCGAAAGGAAAGGTAAAACAAACCCAAAACGCAAGATAAGGCACAACGACCAAATTAAACGCAGCATACAGGATCCAAATCCCTAAAATAGGTAAAACTTCAACAAAATTACGCACCTGTTGCTTGCAGAACCTCGACCAACGGGAAAATGAAGCCAGAAAAACGCGCGATTTGCGTATTTAGACCAAAGAACAAAATAGATAGGGTTGGGCTCTTCTAACGAATCGACATGGCTAATAGAGGCTGCATGTAACTGGAAAATTTTATAATAAATTGTTGTATCTGGGTAGCAATCGTCGAGATAGTAGGTACTAGAAATTTTCTCAGTCGAGGCATCCCTAAAGTAAAAAAGGAATCCTATCGGGTGGTGCCATGCATCGCTGAATAGTTCCGCAATTTGCCGTTTGATTCGAATGTAATTATTAGTAAAAAAAATGCAAGGAAATATTAAATTATGGCATGAAGACAGTGGCGGTATTTAGGGAGCGAAATAAAACTCCTCCGATCATGCTTACTAGACGTAGCGGTAACCAACGAAGAAAGAAGATCGCATACCGGCTGATTGACGTATGAATAAATAACCTCTCTGTCAGATCAATATTATTCAATATTATTTACTTCGCAAAGATTAACTTTAAAACAAACAGCCGTATGTAAGTAAGCAATTTTGATTTTAACTGCCAGTGAAGCTTCAAGAATAATTGCTGATTCTACCATATTTCATTACAGCTCAAACAACAGCAAAACAATAAGAACGAGAAAGGAGTCTTTAGCAAAAAGCAGTATCTGTAAGTAATGACCGATTTATCTTCCCAGAGAGAAAGAAGAAAACAATCAGAAATATAAAGTAACATTAATTTGAAGAAAAGTACCAAACACACTAGAATCGAATTAGCACGAGAAGCGTGATTTAATTAATAAAACCCAAATACACAGGTACTTTACTGAAAATATGACCTAAGAGTGAAATTGGAACGTAACAATAGTAATGTAAATTTTAGTCAGCAAATGAGTGTAAATCACGTCCAAGCGTCCAATATCTTTTTTAGGATTAATAAAATATTTGGAATCATAAATACAACAGATTTTTAAAAATTTCCTAGTGAAAATGCTATACTCTGTCATCAGTAACTGAGAAATAAACAAACTAAAAATTTTCAAATCGAATTTTCATTCCTCCTGAAAAACCATACGGCAGAGCGTTCGTTTGCATTTGTCGGTTTTCCCTCACCAGGCAAGTATTCAAATTGCCACTGAATCTCCGCCGATATATATAGTCGTTAGTCGCGGACGGGCTCCCCCTACTCCCTCACGACACAATATATAACCGCGTGAAGTCGCAAGTAATTTCCCATTCGGCGGTAAAGCGGAGAGACGCGCGCCAACCACACCCACGCAATTTATATTGTTACCCACCTGCATCGGTATCCGTTGGGACCCCTAAGCTGTTAGAGTTGTCGTTGATAAAGGCCTCCGTGGAATTGGTAAATGTCTGCGGGGACAGCGTGAGGTCAGGCCCGCTCGAAGAGTCGAACAGGTCGAAGGTGGCCGTCACTGCGTCGTTGCCGCCTGAAATTGAAAGGGTATAAGATGAGAACGGCGAGGGGCGGCGAAACTACCATCGGGATAAAAAGGATAAATGGGGTGCCGTCCCGGGAATAATAATGGGGCTTTACCGACGAAGGGATGAACTCGAAGGGTGACACATATTTGGGTCCCCCATTCCATCGACGAGAAGTTTTCTATTTGCTGGTTTCCGAGTTTGCTTAGATTTTCGGAAAAACAACAAACACCATTTTGAGCGACGGGGTCTGCAATTAATTTTTTACCTCACCCAAAATTGTAAAATTAAAAAATGTCAAGTAGTTCGTAGTAAGAAAACGGTGAACAAGTGGTTTTTAAATCAAGACACTAATCTAAGCCGTTGCAGCATATAGGTTATTACGAACGATTCTGGAGTAACGAAACTTCAAATAGTAAAAACATTATGTAAACGAACAATGCCAATATACTGTGACAAGATGTCTTTGAATTTACAATACTCACAGATTACTCAATTGAATTAAAATTAATAAAAATATTTTAAGAATACAAAAACCAGACCCAAATGTACGTGTGCCAAATAAAACGATCCACTGTACGATCTGGAAACCCATAGGAGATACGAAAAAAAAAAAGGTACAAAAGTGCCTGGAACTCTCTCGAAGATTTAAAATAATATAATTTTGTTGATACAGGGTGTCCCAAAAGTGTCTCCCGGACATCAACTTTGTTGTTTTAAATGGAATACCCTAAATATTTAGACAATTATGGAATCCCTGGTTAAAATAAAGGTAACTTTCTTAAGAAATTTCAATTCAAATTTTGCATAGTTTAGGCAGAAATTCGGGTATTGCAATGAAAATTTAATCATAGACTAAGGAGACTAAGGACACTACTCTATAAGTTTGGGAGATGCGTCTCAGCTTATACAGGCTGTCCCAAATAGGTGGAGGCAATGTGTATTGCAGAGGATGAACAATATATTGAAAATATATTACAATATCACCATATTTAAGTTTTTTTTTATTAGTTATTTGTTTCTGTTTTTTTCTGTTTTATAGATTTATTTATTCAAATTTGTTACCTTGTTTTGTGAGCTTATAAACTATAATCATTTATTTTTGTTATTAGGTATTTCCAATCGAACTGGATAATTAACTATTAAATGTTTCTTTAATGAGTTCTGAAGTTTTATTAAATCTGTTAAAGTGTGTAGTATATAGCCGATTTTTTCAAAATTTGCACTTATTAATGGACACCCTGTATTATTAGCAATAGTTTTTATTAAAACGAGTAGTATTATGTCTTTGCTATTTAAAAAATACTAATAATAATACTCAATATTAGTATTGACAACAAGTGGCCTAATGTGGGCAGCTTTAAATTTAACCAGAATTTATACGGGTGTTATATTAAACCTCGAATATCTCAAAAAGTAAGTAAGACATAATTACAAACTTAACTTATTTTTTGTCCTAGATTGGATATCTGAATAAAAATATAGGGTGTTCCAGTTGACAATCTTAAGATTTTGTTAACTGGATTCTCCGAAACGGCACCGCCTATTTGGGACACCCTGTATAAGCTAAGGCGCATCTGTTAAACTGATTGAGTAGTGCATCATTTGCTTAGTCTGTTGTTAAATTTTCTTTGCAACACATAACCTCAATTTCTGCCTAAACCATGCAAAATTTGAATAGGAATTTCTTAAGAAAGTGACCTTTATTTTAACCAAGGATTCAAATAATGTTGAAATAAAAATAAAACTATTTTAAATCTTCAGGAGAGTCCAAGAAACTTTTGTACGAAAGTTTTTCTATCGGTTTCCAAATCGTATAGTGGATCGTTTAATCGGTGTACAACTCGAATAACAGAAAAACACACACGGGAGAACTGAGATTGCGGTGCAAGTTTGGTAGAAGTAGCACAGCATAAAATGCGTTGTTACCAGGCAATCTCACTAGAAAAAGTACAATTTTAATGATGTCGTCTTTGGAGCAAACAGGAACAACTTTCTTAGCAACCCGAGCATGGAACTAATGGAAAACTTAATAACTTATTGCACTAAACTCAGAGGCAGATAAACGTACAAGTGTACAACTCGAATAACAGAAAAACACAGACGGGAGAACTGGGATTGAGGTGAAAATTTGGTACAAGTAGCACAGCATAAAATGCGTTGTTACCAGGCAATCTCACTAGAAAAAGCACAAGTTTAATGATGTCGTCTTTACAGCAAACAGGAACAACTTTCTTAGCGACCCGAGCATGGAACTAATGGAAAACTTCATAACTTATTGCACTAAACTCAGTGGCAAATAAACGTACAAGTGTACAACTCGAATAACAGAAAAACACAGACGGGAGAACTGGGATTGAGGTGAAAATTTGGTACAAGTAGCACAGCATAAAATGCGTTGTTACCAGGCAATCTCACTAGAAAAAGCACAAGTTTAATGATGTCGTCTTTACAGCAAACAGGAACAACTTTCTTAGCGACCCGAGCATGGAACTAATGGAAAACTTCATAACTTATTGCACTAAACTCAGTGGCAAATAAACGTACAAGTGTACAACTCGAATAACAGAAAAACACAGACGGGAGAACTGGGATTGAGGTGAAAATTTGGTACAAGTAGCACAGCATAAAATGCGTTGTTACCAGGCAATCTCGCTAGAAAAAGCACAAGTTTAATGCTGTCGTCTTTGGAGCAAACAGGAACAACTTTCTTAGCAACCCGAGCATGGAACTAATGAAAAACTTCATAACTTATTGCAATAAACTCAGTGGCAGATAAACGTACAAGTGTACAACTCGAATAACAGAAAACACACACGGCAGTACTGGGATTGCGGTGCAAGTTTGGTAGAAGTAGCACTGCATAAAATGCTTTGTTACCAGGCAATCTCACTAGAAAAAGCACAAGTTTAATGATGTCGTCTTTAGAGCAAACAGGAACAACTTTCTTAGCAACCTGATCATGGAACTAATGGAAAATTTCATAACTTATTGCACTAAACTCAGTGGCAGATAAACGACATAAAATAGTATATTAACGCTGTAGTCCGAAGTACCTCAAACGTCCTTCAAAACTCAAATAAAGACAATGGAAATTCAAAACATTGAAAGAACCTCCTATTGCATTTTACGGGCATTATATAAAAATGTCAGTGTACCGTAGATTACGACGCAGTAAAAATAAACTTGAGGTAGGGAATTAACGTTTCTTAAACCTCTTTTACGACGTTCCCGCAAACGCGAATAGAGTCCCCGCCCTATTTGTTCAGGAAACGTACAAATTACACACACACTCGGATGTTGTTTATGAAAGCGGGACATGCTGGGCCATTCCTCACGGGTGTACATTTAAATTTCACCCGCCTAGAGCCACCCCGCCTAATGGTTAGTTAACCCCGTTCCCGAAAAATTCGGAGCTCTAGGCGAAACATTCAATTTGCATAATTGAAAACACACAAGCCATTATCTTTTTCCGCTGGCCTTTCCGTTGATGTTTATATGAAAATGGAAATTCGGCGGTTAGCGTCGGGTCCAGCGGCATTGTACGAACGAGATGGCGCGGGATATCAATAAAAATCGTTTTATTTTCTTTTCATTACCGGCGGTTAGTGGCATCCATGTGCGTGATATTGGGCAAATTGTTGGTTTCGAACTGCAGGCAATGCAAAATGTATGTAAAAAAGATGAAAATTTCGCTTGCGTAGCGTTCGGAATGTCTTCGTCGCGGTCCTATTCCCCACTCAATTCCATTCCGTCGTCATTAGCAAAAGGTAATTCTATTATACGTGACGATCAAATGTAACGACCGCAAAACGGGTCAGGAATTTATTTTCAATTCCGTATCCAGTCGGTGGCTTGCTAGGGTCTGGCTCCGAGAGAGCGTACTTCAATTTAATAGAACGTGTGAAGGAGGAGAAAGGGAGGAGGCTTTTTCAATTTTCTCTCGGGCTCCTCGACGCGTTCACTTCACTCAGCTGCTAGTTTTTTTTTAAGGAAACGTTTTTTGACCTACTATACGATATGTTAATGAAATTACGTCACATTATATTTTCGTTTGAATGTGGGGGACAACGTTGTAGTGATGAAACTAATAACAACTTAAATTGCCACTGTTGTCCTTCCTTATCTTCAAAACTTCACTGACCACATATCAAAAGTTCTAAAGAAATTGTTCCACAATCTCTCAACGTCTTCGATCCGTCAATTACAAAATTCCATTTGAGATGCCAGGAGTTCACAGCATTCCATGCATATGCGGCAAAGAATACAACTAGGCTCAAAGAACATAAAAGAGCCTTAAAAGTAACACAAATAAACTCATCCGCAGTTGCCGAACACAATCACGAGACCGGTCATTAAATTTAATTAGATAAAACTAAAATTCTTACATATAATCAATTCTTCTACCAACGAAAAATCCGAGAGTCTATAGAAATCTATAAACAACCTAACAATCTTAACTGCGACCTGTCACAAAATGGGAATCCTGTCATCCGAGACGGTGTTTATGATCCTCATTTAGCTCCGCCACCCCCAAAAAATATATAAGCAGGTACAGAGTGGCCAGTTTCAGTCAAGCTCTGAAGTAGTCAACAGAATCATTGTCGAAACGTTAGCAAGTTGGACTCAGCAAAAACCAACCCAGAAGGAATCCAGAAGTTTTGTAAAAACTATATTGTATTGACTCCAAAGATATTTTCAATATATTTTTTTCATTCGTGTAATTGTTCTTCTGTGGTACTAAGAATTTGCTGTTGATCATTCATGTGACTGTTTTTGTTTGTCTTTTGACCAGTTGTCTGTCTGATTTTCTTGTACATATTAAAAGAGTCACGCCTGGCTTCTAACTGCTTTATAACAATATAAAAGCAGGTACAGTTTAATATGCAAGAAAGTTTCAGCCAAGCTCTGAAGAAGCCAACAGGATGATTGGCGAAACGTTAGTTAGTTCAAAGTCAACAAAAACCGACGCAGGAGGAATCCAGAAGATTTATAGAAAGTATAACTT